GATAGTTATGAAAAACTTTATAGCGCGTCTAATGGTTTGTGGATATATATTTAATGATATTTATCTCTGAAGGATTAAAATGCTAGTAGCATTTAAAAATTCTTAGAAAATTTGTTTAAATATATTTGCTCAACTATTTAGATTGAATGAATCGATCTAAGTGTGTATGATATATCTAAATCAATGAGGGTCTACTTGTCCATATGTCTTTATAAAGACATTAAGATCAAACTATGATAATTATTGGAACTCCTGAAAAGCTTTAAAATAGAATTTTGAAGAGTTTCAAAAGTATCTTGATCATTTAAAAGCATATTTGAGATAATAAAAAAATCTTGAAATCAAGTTTTATCTCGACCTGTAGATCAAGTACTTAAATTAGATCAATTGAAAAGATGATACATCAAAGGAAATATATTTTTCTAAAGTTTCCTCCCTCATGATCTTTAAAAGAAGAGTAATGCAAATATTTAACGAATTTGTTCAAGTGGTAATTTGAAAAAGATTTATTCATTGGTGTATTGTTTACTTGAACATTTGAAGATTGTATTCAAGATTGAGTTGTAATATCCAAATATCTTATGTGATTTTATCATGAGGGGGAAGTAAATACATGTTGTACTCTTTTTCCCTTAACCAAAGTTTTGTCTCACTGGGTTTTCCTAGTAAGGTTTTTCATGATACATCATATTATACATATAAAAAGATATGTGTACTCTTTTCCTTAATTAAGATTTTTCCTCCACAACATTTTATTTTAGTAAGATTTTAACGAGGCACATTATGTTCATAAACATCTAAGGGGGAGTGTTATGAATATTTATTTATGTGGATGTCCATTTCTATCTTTTATCTCTATCTATAAGATAGGGTTTTTGATATATTTTATTATTATGACTTTAATATCCATTAGAGATAGAGTTCAACGTGATATATACTATTTATGCTTTTAAATATGTAGTTTAAAGAAAGCATTGTACACAAATCATATTAAGATAATAATACAATTCTCTCTCTGTATCGTTATATCTCTTCTCCTTGTTCTTCTTCTTCTTATTTCTTCGTTTAAATTGTTTTATAACAATATATTGAATATTGAAATATAAAACAATTTTAAAAATTCAAATTTATTAATAGTTTATTAAGTTAAACTCTTTGTATATTATTATTATGTTTATAATTTTGAGTAAAGTAAAAAAAAAAAGAATTGAGAACGATCATTATAAAAAAATTAATTAGTCTAAACATATTCTTGTCAAAAGTAATGTGAATTGGTTAATATGTTAAAATTTGGAGAAAAAGACATTCATATCATTTTAATTAAAAAATGTTACTATTAAGAAAAAAAATATTATACAATAATAATATTTTCTGTGAACCAAATATAAAAAATGTAATTTCAAAAAAAATATTTTCTCTTGATAATGATATTTTCTGCCAACTAAACGCGGATCGATTGAATTCTCAAAATTATATATCTAATGCTCTATTAATGTGTGACAGCCATGCGAGAGTCACGTGCCTTGACAGGAGCATTAGCTACCCAAAGCCATCACGCGATGTTTAAACAGTGTTATATCTGATGGGCCTACAAAAACCAAGGGCAAGGGTTAGGTCAATGCTCTAATCTAGAATAAACGGATTTACAATACTAACCCTAATTGAATTGGGCTGACTCCCCACCTAAAACCTCAGTTTTCCAGCAGATGAACAGCCATCGTTTTTTTTTTACCGCACATGGGGAATCACCTTCTATGACTATGACTACTTCAAAGTCGTATAGAATTCACTCGGATTTACCGCTCATGCGAAAACTTGAACAAACCAAACTTAGCCTAACACATCTAAATGGATTCTTGGCCTATATAGAATTCACTCGGGTTTACCTGAAACTAACAACCCAGAAATCAGGGTGTTACATTGGAAGTATTTGTAAACATGACAGAGGCTTCACTGATGGATCCTGCAGAGAGTTTTATGCGTTATGACTCCTCTTGCACAATCGTTGAGTATGCTTGATTAATTATGGGTAGAGGCTTTATGATCAAGATTTGACTCGGAATGGTTGAACATGTCTCATTGTATAATATGAGTTGAATTCTATCTAGAAACTTTGCACTCACAAGATGAAAATAAATGTATTCACCCCACAACAATTTCAAGCGAGTATAGTAAACCAGAACAAAAGAATAACCTTGAACAAGAGTCGCTAACGATGGATGCAAAAAATAAATTCTAGATCCATCAAATTTGTCAAATCTCTCTCGTAAATCTTTCCAAACAGCTACTGCACTTGATGTGAATACAATTCTAAAATTAATCACCAAAACAATGTAATAAAAATGATTATTTTAACAGTTTACCTTTAAGATGACAAAAAAATCATGTAAAATAGTTTAACATTTATAAACTAAATTCGAATAAGACCCCATCTGTTTTACTTTTTGGGTATTATAATGGTTTTGTTTTTATACGATGTTAAAGAAGTCTGTAGTAATTCTGATAAATTTGATTAAACTTTTATAGCAAAATAAAGAAGTATAATAAAAATGTAAAAATGTGCAAGTCACGTGTAATATAAATAAAAGGTGCTAACCAAAAATATATTTTGTTTTATGTACACGAAAATTTACATTTACATATGTAGGGAGTGTAGTTGCTCAACCAGTCTTATTATTTCCCTTTCTTCCTACAGACACGTCATTTATAAATAAAAATAAAAGTAAAGATATTAGAGAAAATTAAGAATCATAATAAAAATATATTTATTAAATAATGATAAATTTAATAATATGATTTAACTGGGTACTCGTTGCAAGCTCTAACTGATCTGGTAGTGCTTTTTCTCAACGACCTGAGTCGGCCATTAATGGCAATGTGCTGTTTATATTTGAAAGCCGAGTTAATCAGATCCATGCACTCATCAAAAACATTAAAATAAAAGTGGAAAAGAGATAGATGTTCTCAACAAATCTGTTTAGGTAAAGATCTAGCTTATCTCCAGATGAAATCGATAGCGGCGGCAGTGCTGGTCCGACACCATCTTAAGGTGGCACCGGGTAGAGCAGAAGATATCACTAACTCTGTTCATGAAATATGGGCTGTTGATGGAGGTGCACCCAAGAAACCTCAAGCCTGTCCTGGAAAAAATATGCAAAACTGGGGGAAATGGGTTTACTTGAATTCTGGTGAAAATTTTGTGAATATGAGATGGTGGAGGAAGGAGATGAGAAGTTAAATATCTTCATTATAAGTCATCTATAGATGTATTTTTACAAGTGAAATAAGAATAAAAGCGAATGCCAAATTATACGCTAAATAAAACTTCACAAACTTCAGTTTGTGCTTTTGGTGACTGCCATAGATGCAGAGTTTCATGTTTATTGTTGGAACAATTTAGAAACAGAGAACCATGATATCATAAATTGCCACAATTTGTCATCTTCAAAGATTTTCCAGTCACATTGGGTATGAATTAAACGGTAAATAAGTTTATCATAAATAGTCCACACAGCCTGACCAATTGAATTAAAACGTCAAACAAAAAAGCTGAAATTTTTGGTTGTAACATGGCAGCTGACAATTAAGACAGCTTTTTAAGGCCAAAGAAAAATGTTTAGAGCCTCCACCCAACCCTACCCTCTACTCTCACTTGTGTTTTTGCCCCTAATATTGTTGTTTTAACTGTATTGTTGCTAAAAAACCGACGAGCTTGTGGTTAGACAATAAATAGCTTTACTAATGCCACCATTTGTACATAGACTTATTAATAATTACACATTTTAAATTAATTATACTTCTGCCGTTTCTTTAGGAAATAAAGTAAAACAATAGTATAGATCATCGTCGTACACAATTGGATTATGAGTCCCAGAAAATCGGAACATTGAAGACCAAATGCATACTCATTGAGTCAAATGCTAATATTCATTCATTTATAAATATAATAAAAGTTGTACACGAATACTTCGATAAAATAATATGATTTATAGCAAAGAAGAAAAAAATTGTATCCATAAAAAATAGAAATTTCATAATAATTCATTAAACGTAATATGTATATTGGTAAAGAGAATTAATTTGTAAAGGTTCACAAGAAATGAAAAAATCTTCTCTCATGTATATTGGTGTAACGATCCAAATTTTTACGTTTATTTTTAAGTACTAACTTGAATTAAGGATTTATCGATTAATACGAGTAATTGAATTCGTTGGGAAAAGTTTGGGTCCACGTGGGTAAGAATCAAGCCTAACAATATGTAAAAATAGAATTGATGATTTCGCGTGATAATTGAGGGGACAAAAAGAGAAGTACAGTGAGCTCATCTTCTCCTCCTCTTCCCCCAACTCCTCTTCTTCTCCAACACATTCTTTTACCCCATCCTGGGGCAAGTTGGTGAGAAAAGAATCAATCTCTCGATGGAATCTTCAGCAAATACATTCAAGATTTCCTTCTGTTTACCAAGTGATTTCCTTCTATCATATTTGAGAGGTTAATCTTCAACAATGGATTGCGCTATTTCAAAGATCTAAACTAACTGAACATTTCAATTTCTAAATAAACATCACTAAACATTTAAGAGTATTCAAATCTACGCCAACCAAACATTGTTTACTTTAGCACTTCTTTTCTTTGAGAAGCCAAATGAAGACCAAAGGTGTTGATGAATATTTAACCAACCGAAATGACCCACGTTAGTTTGTTAATACTTGAGCTGTCCCGATCTATTCATGATTTAGAACTAAAGATAAATGCTGATGTTGACTTTCTTGAGAATATGATAGAATGTTGTTGATTCAGTCTCCTTCAAGCTTTCTTCATTTCAATTCCAGAAGATCAAAGGGAAAAAAAAAAGTTGGCAAACCAAGGAAAACTTGGCCTTTCTTGATTTAATCTTAGCCACAATATAAAGTACAATTACATTTTCAGTTCCAACTCTGAAAATTTCCGTATACAAAAAGTACTTGCATCAAATTGAAGTAAATGGTGAGGTTCTTTAAAGCTTATCAAATGCACACTTGTTTTGTTTTCTTCTGAATGACACACTATCTTTGTTAATTGATAACATGCCCCACCTCATTAGCTTCAAAGAGCATCAAGACTTATGCTAGAGCTAAAGTAAGTTTCAAATGAACAGCCTCAGTAACACAGCAATTTCTACAATACAATAAAAGGAAAAGGGTCTTACTAATGGTCGTCATCACCCAACTCTTCATGATGCTGATGTTCGAGTCGGATATGGGGACAGGGTCTTGCTGGTTCTCCTCTTGTCCACAGGACTCTTAGATCACCTCTCTTTTTTCCTAGGGTTATAAAGGTTCCTGCAACAAGGTATGGAATTTTCGTAAACTGAGAGAAATGAACTGATGCTTTCGGTTTCAGAGAAAACCGCTTTTAGTAGACAAATTTACCCAGTGTAAAAGGGACAATGTAAAGGAGTGCTGGTTGACCATGTCCATCCATCAAATTCAGAGCCACGTATGTAATGAGAAGACCTGCCATGGGTTGAGAAAGTAGTAGAAAACTGTCATTTGCAAAACCCAGGTGAATGATGGCAATGGCGTCTAGAGAATTTCATAAGTGTTTTAATGCCTTTGCCCACAAATAAAATGTCTTATTGGTCACTCTTAACAAGAAAAATAAGCTTCTTTCTGTTAATCAGATCAACAAGATTTCTTCATCAACTCTTACCTAAGCCATAAGCAACCATTGCCCACAAGAAGTAGCCAGCTCGAAGAGTCTTGTTCGCCAGCCAATCATACCTTTAAGCACAAGTGGTTTGTGTGAGTTCTTGCTACCAAGTTGATAAATCAATAACAATTTGAGAACTAAAATGCCAAAAAAGCATGCCTTTGAAATTAGAATTTTAGCATAAAAGAAAAAACTGTCGTTTCTGAATTTCAGATCATCCTTGGTCAGGAAAATGATGCATGAACCTCATTCTTGTAGCCTGAAACATTAGACACTCAATAGATATTGCATCGGTGGACAGTGCACATGTTTTCTTTATAGACTATATCATAGAATCATTTAAAAATTATATTCGGCTCAAAATGCTCCGCGTTAACTAGTCAAATATTTTAAACAAAACTGTACAACATGGGAGGGTAAACAGATTGTTCGAAGAAGCATGGAAGGGCATTTTCTCCTAGAAGTAAGGCACGGATATTAAGGGACAAGTTTGCAAATACAGAACAGCAGCATTAATAACAGGTTTAACAAGCAAAGAGTGCAGTCCAAACCTGAGTGAAAATGCTATCAACAATCCAGGTAAAAGAATGTCACCAAATCCTATTATGCTATAACCACCCATGGATCAAACATGCGTGGTATCTTCAGTAGCATTGGGATGCCATCCTCCCCACTTTTATCCCCACGAGCTACCTATGAAAGAGATACAAGCAATCAGTAATACCTTCTAGCCTTTCATATTTTGAATATCCTTGATAGTCTAAAAACTACCCTTCTAATTCTGATATAGCACATGGGCTAGAGTTGGAAAAGGTGGATTACTTACCACAATCATCACGCTTTCATGGAACAACTTTTTTGAAACAAATACCCAAATATGTCGTATAAGAAGGCACAACTTAGTAGAACTGTTCCCACCTGATTCAGAAATATGTCAGAACTCAGAATAACAAATTGTTTCCTAGAAATAGCTGTGTTTATCAAAATCATTGAATATTTGATAATTTTAGGGTCCCAAATAGAAAAACTAAGGAATCTAACGAGGGTCCATTCAAGTCATATAATGAGATGGGAGTAAATACAGTTGTAATGTTACCTTGAGATTAGGTACGTGGACAATTTGCAGAACTGTGATTATCAGAGCAATTCCCTGAAAGAAAAAAAATATCAGTCATGTAAATCCTGCATCGTCGTATTAAAAAAGGCAAGAAAGGAAGACAAGTACAAGAACTTGGAATAAGCAGTATGACTCATATCCATCCACCTAAATAGTGATTGTATCAACATTCGTTGGCATGGTGTTGTAATACATGCACTTAAGATGGAAAGCAAAAAAAAAGAGTCTATTTTGAACCTAGAAGAGGAATAAATCACCTATTAGTTGGAACGTAAACTTGTTTTAAACTCACTCTTCACAGTTATGGGAAGAAATTTTTTTTGAGAGGAATAGGAGGCCTCATTAAAAGTTATGGGAAGAAAATATTACGCCACAAGACAGGGCACATACGGTGTATCAAACATAGCTACTGAACTCATAAAGACTCATGGATCAGAATAGCTTGCCTATTATCAGCAATGATGGTAGCTAACCTTTAGCCAGAACACAAAATTTAGAGCCTCAACAAATGAAAGGATAAAAATCTAGACCAAAAAATGGATTTTTAATCATTCACATAACTGAAGTTTGATAATCTTGAAATATATTAGGAAACTTAACAAGAAACTATATCGTTACCAATATATCTTGACCTATCCAAGCAAAGGAAACATCGCGATAAACAGCCCAAACGACAGCAAATGCTATGCAGAAGGGGGAAACAGCCAATGTAAGGTACGAGAGAACTCCAAAAAAAGGCACTTTAATATATGACTCTCCACAATGCTTGAACCACCTGTGAGATATAAAAAATTTATTCACAACCTTGAAAAGAGAATTCAATTTACTTCAGTGAAGGTTGTAAACTACATAATTGTGTTTATCTCGGAAATCAAACAAGCATCCATAAATACAAATTGCAACCATTTTTCTTCATCTATTAAAGAGTGTTGACCCCGTTAAGACCCGATATAGTTTTCAAACAAAATCCTTTTCTTCAACTTTTCATAATATTTCGCTGGTTATCACCATCCTTTTATATCATGCAGATCGCAGAGAATAAAATAACAAAACACGATCAACAGTAAATATACAAGAATCAATCAACAATAAGACAAGTGGATGACTTGGCAGGTGTCAAAAGGCAAACTTCTCATGAGATACTAAATTCATACTAAGAAAGAAACACACAAATACCTTGACAGTAAAGCAACCGAGCAAGTTTGAAGGCCCTGCAAATATATTGAACTTTAGAGTTACATGCTAATACTTCATTGAAATATCTGGAAGAAGTCAAAAAAAGATCGCTAAAGTTTAGAGAAAGATGTTTTCCATGCCAAACTATAACACGAATTAAGAGATGCTCCATATGCATGCATGCATAAATGAATAATAACCAGGAATCAGACAATGAAAGAAAGTTGTACCTCCACACCACCTATGCAGAAAAGAACCACCAAGAGCTCAACAAACCAATATGACATAAGTTTGTAAAACATAACCAAGAAGCAGGAAGCAACGACAACAAATAAGACAGCTGATGTGATGTTGATGTCCACAATACCACCAGAACCTACAGGTATGGTGTCGGGAATTTCATCCAAGGCATCCTGCATTTACAACATAAGGTTTACAAATTAATAAGCATAATATAGCTATAAACATGATACAACTCCAGACATACTGCATGGGAAAATATGTAAAATTAACTTAAGGTGACCTTTAATAGTTTGTCCTGTTCAATAGCAGCTTCTCTAGCACTCCAAGCAGACCAATACGAAGCACACAATATGGTACCAACTGCCATCAACCATAGGAACACTTCAGCTATGTCAACTAGTGGTCGCGTCGGAGAGTAAAGCTGTACAGACACTGCAAAAGCACAAAGTATTTAGAAAGAAACAAGTACTAGACTTGGTAGGTTGATCATATATGCAGGTGATTTTTTTAGAAAAACAAATAAGAGTAGAAGCTTACCTGACGAATTACTTGTCAGCATTTTCTCCAAGCTTGCACCAGCATCTTGTGGGAGCATGACAGCAGGTATATCTATATCCAGATCGGTTTCATCTGGCTCGCATACCATCTTGTAGAGTTCTACAAGGAATTCACGTGTTCCAATATGTCATCTTTCTAGGTCAAACTATTCATCCAACAATAATTTAAAAAGTGTGTACTGCCAGGCACATACTTATTCAAGGCAATTCAAACGGGTAAAATTTCCAGAAAAATGACATAAGACCATTTTTTTCCAAACCCCAACTGATTAGCACATGAATCAAATCGAAATAAAATGATTGATTACCCTTTTCATTATTTATAATGAGAACAGCTGAAGCATGAGCTGCCTGTGCATTGTTTGCCTTGGTTGTGAACTTGCAGTGGCCTCGGTCCACCATAATGACATCATTAGCAAGCTAACAAAATCAAAATTATGCATGGTATTAGTATCTAAAATATACTATCATATTAGATTGTTTTGCATGATCACAAGTAGATGCAAGAGTATAAGGTAATCAAAAAACAAACCTTATTCTTTGGGGCACTACAACAATCTCGAGGGTCAGAAAGAATGAGGCGTCTTTGATTTGCATTTTTCTCCTTTGATACTATAGTACTACCAAATCTGGCACCTACACCAACAAACTCGGCATTCTCTATGCCATCAACCCAGGTTTGAACTTTGACCTATCAATTTCGAGGATAGTTAAACTCTATAGACAATAAAAACAATGACAAAGCTCAATAAGATAAATATCACAATTCGGTGCTAAAAATACAGCTTCACCCCAATAACATGGAGAACTCTAAGCTAAAAGGGGAACCAAAATGACAGTTAACAGAAAGGACAGGAAATCCCATATAATACATGAAAGTACATAGCTCTTATACACCCCTCTTTCCAATTTTGAAAACTTCTACAAGATAAAAACTACTTAGACAAACATTAAGTCAATAACTATCAATCTAGAAATGTAATATACGACCAGCAACTAGAAAGTAAAAGGTAAAATAAATTCTTTACAACATACCGACATACAATTTACCAAAACGAAGAGAGATATAACTCTAAAGCTCAACATCCAAAACGCCTACTTCGAGACTTGAAGATTCCATTGCTAATAGAAAAGGAGGGGGAACAAATTTAAGTGCTTAGTGCTTACTGCTACCAAGTACCAAGATTAATGGGGAAGAAAATAAGGAATCAAGCTGAAATTTAAGCAAAACCAAGTTGAGAAAACAAAGAAACGAGAAAAGGTAGATTTTTCGAATGATTTACCAGAACGAAATCGTTCTCACAACCGGGCTTTTTCGGAGCTAAATCATCGTCGTGTACTATATCACCGGCTCTAACAGAAAACGGCTGTCGAACAAGTGAAATCAGAGCTGTTATTAGGAAGACTCTGCAAAAACACCGCAAATCCATTGATGGAGTTTCCCTTATATTCTTAATCCGTCTACCTTAGGGACTGTTTGAAGTTCCCTTGTTTATTTGCATTACAGAAATCAATGATTGTTGGCTTTTTGTTTGCTTCTTCAGTATCAATAAAATTTAAGATTAACAACAAATTAATAAAAGAAACACAAGAGCATGAGAAAGGGTCGTGGCAGTTAATAAATGAGAGCGATGGATCTACTGGCTTTGGAAGAAAGTGAGCTGATAACGCAAAGCAAACCAAAGCAACCGTCAAATACTCAAAACCCAAAGTGAATTATTTGGCCTCTCTCAAGTTGCACATCAAAACAAGGAAAGACGGTTGTGATTTGTGAACGAATCACATGATCCTTTTTCTGGAATATTTTAAAATGGAAAATTCATCCCTTCTAATGATCTCCCATTTCGACAGCGATTTGGATCTATTCACCACAGAAGGAGATAAAGTAGAATCAATGGGGTCTCTTCTCTCCCCCAAAAAACCAATCTTTCAACATCAAAACGTCAGGGACGCGTGTTATGTTAGTTCATAGTTGGACCATGCATGTGGGTATGTTACCCCTAACAAAGGTCTCACCTTTGTGCAAGTAAAAGGGTTATTAAACCAAGTATGTGAAAGATAAACAAGATTATTGTTATTAATACCTCCTTCAGATCTTCCGGAAGTGATATATCTATTGCCATTTTTTGTTGTCAGAGTCAAATTATTATTTCGCAGTTAATTTATCTATCCTATCAACCTATTGATTATAACCATAGATCTAATACTGACAATAAGAAATTGTGCTAAAATCTTTAAACAATTTTGGAGGAAAGGGGCTTGAATTTTCTCGTTGGGCTTTCTCTTTTCTCTCTCCCCCCGTGCTTTTTCTGCCTTAACGATTATTCATGTTATTTTTAGCTTGATCGATCTATTCTTCTCTTGGAATAATCAGCTATTGTTCACTTAAACCCGGAAGGAATGAACCGTTAAAGGCCACTACAATCTCAATTTATCCATCAACAAAACTTAAAATGATGGTGGGATGTCATTTTAAAAATTTTAAAAGAAAAATCAAAAGTCTCCAACATAAGGAGGAAGCGAGGAAAATCCTTTGTTTAATCATACAGTCATTTATGGCGGACAGATAGGATCTTTTAAATGGGGAGAGAATCAGATGTATAACATAATTCATTATATATGTGTGTGTGTGTGGAATTTCAAACTTATTTAGTGATTCCATCCACATTGGAACAGATGAACTGATAAAAGAAGTATATTTTTTAGCAGCACAAAAAATATTCTGCTAGCTAAACAGTGACTCAATAACCAACTCCCTAAGTCATGAAATCCAGGTTTATATAGGGGAAAAAGGATCACACTTTCGATGAACCTTTTCGTCTCAGCAGCTCTAGGTAGAATATAGTTGTATAATGAAGCATCAAGCACTTGATTTGAAGCTATTTGCTCAGTTAAAAGAGTCGGTAACAATGGATACATTGACCAAGGTGCCGGACCGAAGGGACTAGATAGAAAATTTTGAACAGGTGATCCTAGCTTTTCTACATTAATACCGGCTACCGCCGTTCTAATGGATTGGCCTTGATCGGCTTGATCTTTGGGCACTTGATGGTGATCGCCAAGAATTCAATGGTTTTCTTTCCTTTTACCCTTCTCTTCAAAGATCCACCCTTAGCTTTTTTAGCTTCTGTAGCTGAAACAGCAGAAGCTGAAACAGCGCTGGTATTACTCCGGACTTGAACATTTTGACCAGCATCAGTTGTTTGAAGATTCGGCTTCGCAGCAGCTATAGACAAGCTATCTCCGTTCCTCTTTGATGAAGAAATAAGCTCAACAAATTTTCCAGAGCCGAGTCCATCTCCTAATGCATTTAATAATCAGTAGAACCAGAAGCACCAATACCTGTAGGGACTCTAGCTAAAGATCTATCCATGTCATAACCAAAGTCCTCTTGGTGTTGCTTCTCATCTCGAATCAGCACCTGCTGTTTATTTTTCTCCTGGGAATTGTTCTGCTGTTGAGAATCAGCATTGCATTGGACTTGGATACATTTCTCGGAATTAGTCGGACGATTGGATTGCATGCTTTCCAGTTGAACTTTCCCGACATCGATCTGACCAGCTTTTCCAGGATTTCGTATCGTTCTTCTGCTTAAGTGTGCTAACTTCACTGGTCTCATCATCACCGAATGAAATCAATCTCAATACCAGCTTCTGCTTTCTGATAAATGACCCGTCACACGATATCGAATCATCGAATGAAGAATCTGGGTCATTATCATCGTTCCTCCTGAACTCCCAATGTTTCTGAAATTCCAATTCTCCCATTTATGTTAAGGGCCTTCTACAAATTGAAAGATTGACAGATACCCTTGTTCAAATTATGTTCATTCAAATGGGGAAAGCAATCTAGTAAAAGCACAAAACTTCAACAATATCAATCATATGATACTAGTAAAAACAGGAAATGAATAAACTTTGACAGATACCCTTATTCATAGAAGACTAAGTACATAGTTTTACAGGGCAGTGAAATCCAGAAGTCTCATAATTATTCTCAGAGAAGTTATAAAAATAAGAACATAAAGTTGCACCAGAAAAGTTATAAAACAATACCACAATTCAGAAGAACCATTAAGAACAGAAGATTTGTGTTCTCACCGTATATCAGTCTAAATCGAAAACAGGTCTAATATTATATTAAACAATACATGTATTTAAGCTTTGAAGCAATCAAAAATGAAGAGCAGCAGCTGGCTTTTTTCTATTTTTTCCAGTCTTGGAATTGCACCAAACTTTCTGTACTGTTTTTGATCTGTTGTGAAATGAGAGATTTGCCATACCATGTATAGTCCATGATGGTTCTTTCAGCCTTAGTTGGGAGTTTTTATTCTCTTACACTGGTCTCCTTTTACAGAACTTGGCCAGCTGTTACAGACTTTTCTCCTTTTTTATCCATTAAATTTTCTAGATGGTAATGGTTTTTATTTTCTCCTCATATATGCATTAGTTTCCATTAACAAGAAGAATTTCCTTCGATGATTATCTTCTAATTATGGCACTGTATTGATTTATCCAATTCAGAGGGTGATAATGATAAGCTCAAAGATCAAGTTTATCTTAAGAATTAGGAGAGAGAATTGCTGAATTAAGCCAAATAGTTTAACATAACAAAATTTAAGTACATTTTTATAAGTTTTTCTTGCATTAATCCAAGGAAGCAGAATAAATATGCGACAACACTACTTCAGTTAGTAGCCTCAGTGATAAAAAGGGATTTTTTTTGTTGTTGTTGCAAAGGGAGAAGTAACTAGAGATCTCTTTCGATCATGTCTTTGTCGAGCAGTAGTTGCAGACCGGTTGGTAGTTGTCTAAGGATATCCAAACCGAGCCTACAAGAGCGACCAAGGCGGGCCAGCGAGTCAGCAATGACATTCCTCTCACGGCTGATGCAGTTGATCCGAACCCTCCACTGACGATTTAACAGGTGACGGATTCTACGTACAATCGAAAGTTCATGGTCTTTAGGTGAGCAATTCAGGATTCTCACCGCTTCAGAGCTATCAACTTCGATCTCAATGCTTCTAGCTCCACTCTCCCATGCTTAAGAGAGACCATCCATAATAGCCCAAAACTCCGCATGTAAGATGGAGCATCGATCAATATTCCAAACAAAGCCAGTAATCCATCTTCCTTCACTGTCTCAAATGAGACCACCACCAACTGCTTCGTTGGTGCTGGAGTTAACCAAACCATTAGTATTTATTCTCAGTACTCCAACGTCAGGGGGACCTACATTGTTGCGGCGCACAAAAAAAAAATGGAATGGTTTTTTCTTAGGATTCAAGTTCAAGCAATTTTGTCTAAGGTGTATATGCATTATAAATAAACTAATACAATTTCGAAAAATATTATTTAAATTATTTAAATTATTTTACATTTTAAATAAATATTTATTTAAATTTAATTTAATTATAATTTTATTACTTTTATAAATAACCAGTCAAATCTATTGACACTCTATCCATCTGACAATAAGAACATTTAACCAAAACTTTCAATTCTTTAACTATTAATAATAATAGGATCAAAACAGTCATTTAATCATGGTCTTTGATTTCTACTTACATCAAAACCTAATTGTATTAGGACCCATGAATTTAGTTCCATCACTTTTTTCATGGACTTTTCGTTCTTCTTCTTCTTCTTCTTCTCTTCCCTCATTTTACTCGTCATTGCCATCGCCGTTGCCGGAAACATCTCCGACCGTGCCTCAGACCGCAAAGATGGGGAGGATCTACTAAGGTTGTTCTTGGCAAGCCTTAGGGTATAATTCCATCTGCAAATTCCTTGATCCTTCAATGCCTCAACTGCATGCATAGATTGATGCAGACACAATCCAAGTTCTCTTTGGTGCACTCATTTTTTTTCTTGTACGAAAAACTTGTTTTGTCTTTGAGAGATTGGACTGTGGCTAGCAAGAGAGATGTTTTGGTTTAACTGTGTTTCTTATTAATGATCAATTAAAGGGATTGATCTAATTTATATGGATTTGGTGATTAAATTAATATTTACTTGATATATATAAATGAAAGAGCATTAAACAATTGGTTAGTTGGTGTTAATAGTTAATAAGAGTGATTTGCCTGTATTTAGTTCATCCAATCCGAATTTGGCTAAAGGTTGATAATAGTTAATGATTTGCCTTTCTAATTTATAGGATCTTTTTAAAGCGTGTTATACCGAGAAAAAAATCAGTTGACTAAAAATACCTCCAGTCTCGAACCCATCAAGGTGTCTATAACTCTCAGTGATAAAAATAAACGTTATTTTCTAAAAGTTCTTGGTTCAAACAATTACGTTGTAGGATGCGTATTATCAATTGATTAAAAAAGTTTTGAACAAATACAACATTGATATCATCTAGTTTCCCCATAGCAAAATTGCTTAGGACAAGCCATCATACTGATCCATGCATATGTATTCTTCAATAATTAAGCAAAATTAACAGAGAATGAACCTACAAGCATAGATATTCACTGGTGACTATTCCTGCTTGGTGGGGTTGATCAACATATTGCAATGCTTCCCGTCATTCCTCACAGTCATCAAAGAACTCTTTGTTGTCACCTTCAATTTGAAGTGTTTCATGGCCTTTTCCGGCAATCACCTGCAACACACAGCACCAAATTTTACTCATCAACTAGTATGAGCAGAAAAAGAGCATGAAGGAGAGGCAAGGACTACATAATTAACCCATGAAAATTCAAGCCTGACGCCCAGACAGATGACTGACCTTATTTGAACTGAACCCCCACAATCCAAATAATGAATGACCATAAATGAGGAAGCAAA